CCCCCCCCCCAAAACAAATTTGAAATCCAAAAATTTGATATTGATCTCACGCACCTTGATCGAAGATCGTGGAGCTGGAGTTGCTGACGTCGCCCTCCGACGCGATCGACGACAGAGACGACGTCCGCGACAGTCGGCTGCTGTATTGCCTGTTGACGGCGCAGTAAAACCCTAGAGCGGGGAGAGTATCGGACAGCCTCGGATCCAGATCGGGCGAATCGGGTCCGAATCCGAACCCTAGCTCGATACAACCCCTGAGCTCCTCGAGATCGTCATCGGTGACGCTCTTGCTCCGGGCAAGACCTCCGCCGCCGGAGATCGACGAGGAGAAGGGGCGTTTCTCCGTCTTCCTCATCCAGGCCTCATCACGATAAACGTCTTGAGACCACGAGTGCTGCTTGAACAGAGGCGGCAGTGGAGGCGGAGGCGGCGACTGCGACGGCAGAGCTATTCGTTTCGCCATTTGAAGGCAGCTAGTTTTTTTTTTTTTGTTTCTTCTTTTTTTTTCGGGTGATTTATTTGTATTGGCCACTTTGTTAAACACAACACATACATATACATATACATATACATATACATATACATATACACATATAGTCGCATAAAAATGTTAGTCCAAAAGGTCCCCGAGTTTATATTACTTTTGTATGATTTGAGTTTGAGCTTTATTATTCTATAATTAAATCAAATTAGTGTTACAAAAAATAATCAAATCAAAATTAGTTCCTTCTCTATTTTCAACTCAATTAGTTATTTGATTTTTATTTTCCTCTTTATCAATAGTTCTTTGGTTTTGTTTGGTTTTGCATATTAAAAAAAATGAATTTGACGGTGTATAAATTAATCAATGTTTTAATCACATATTTATTTGCAGTTATTGATAAAAAACTATTTATATTTTAACCTATAAAAGTGTTAATTACAAACGATCTAGTAAAAATGACTGGATTCTCTTTTAAAGTTGGCCCTACATTTTTCTTAAATTATAAAAAGGCTTAACATAGTTTTTATACATTATATTATATATATATATATATATATATATATTGCTTATCCGTATCTGTTGGAAAAACAGTGACCCTGTTTCCCACATAAAATGAGGACACCGAGGAAGTAGTGACCCTGTCCGAAGCCGACTACAGTTCCAAAAGCCGATGAACTAACTAGATTTTATTTTATTTTATTTATAGTTTATTAATTTTATTGTTATTCATATGTAAATAATTATTGCATTTTTTTTACCACATTGGTATCATGCATCAAAAACGAGTGAAGTGATTTGAACGTTACACATGTAATCATTTCTCCTATGGTTTCTTGAATATTGTAATTCAATCATTACCTCGGATAGGGACAAAAAAAAGCCCGGTTCATTAATGTACTCATAATATGTGTGTGTGTGTGTATATATATTTTGAAAGAAAAAAAAAGATGCGTAAACATAATATACATTAAAAATAAATATAAATTCTTCGCCGATAGAAAATTGAACCGCTCATCTTTGCTGTGTCCTGTCTGGTAAAAGTTGATCACAAGCTGTCCACCACATGACCAAGAACAGGCTGCAACTTCCGTTACCAAAGGTGGAGCCTTTTCCACGTCAGGGCCTCGGCCCGATGAGCTGGCCACCGCCCAAAAAGCCACACCTAACTCGGGTCGCTGCTGAGTCAGGGCCGAGCCAGCCTAGGTGTCTGCAAATGAAGGAGCTTGCTCTGAAATGATGTCTTCAAGTCAGGTTTACGTCACCAGTAATCTCCGCAAGAACGAACAGACTCCATTCCTGAAATGATGAAACCGGTTCGAGTCCCAGACTATATTATCTCTGTCTCGGTAATTCTCGACACGATCTTAGTCACCTTATGGCGATCCCGTAATCTTTTCCGGCACTAGCGTACGTAATTTGATGACAACACGAGATACCAGACATTCTGGGGTTCAATCTCGAATAAACGCGTGGAAGCAACCTTTGCCGATATCGACATTGCCATGGATTCTACGAGCAACGAGAGGAGCATCCCAGATAGAACAATGCCGAAATCTTTCTGCATAACCTCGAAGCTCCGTATATCGACCTTCGTCAACCAGACCCCGGATGGCTACAATCGGATAATAGAGATACGAATGTGATATATATGATCTGGTAACACTCCCTCACTCCCTCACCGAGCATCATCAAGTCGCCCACATTTTCCGTAGATGTCAATAAGGCTGGCTCCAACAAAAAAATATTCGAAGAGAGGCGGTTCTTGAAGATCCGGGCATGGATTTTCATGCCTTGTCACAATGCTCCTAGATGGGAATAAGCCGATATAATATGCTCGCCAATGTCTCGTGGTTAGGGGTTATTTCTCCATGTTCCTCCATCAGGGCGTACAGTCCGACTGCTTCACTAGCAAGACCATTTTGAGCATAGCCGGCCATTAAGCCGTTCCATGAGATCAGTCTTTAGCTTCGAGAAAATCAAACACTATATACGAGGCATAATTTCTCATACATATGCTTTGATCACCGAATTCCACGAAACCACACCCCTAAAGTTCATCTAATTGAAAACCTTCTGATTCTGACAAGCACCCGAGTTATGAAATCCCGCCTACATGATGATCAAAGCATTAGCAACAAAACAATTCAGATTCCTGCCCGTGTTTTATCCCTTTAGGAGAGACTGAAGCGAAATTCCTCTCGTGGCATCATCCGGCCTGAGCGCAAGCCTTGAGGAGAGACTGACTCACTATAGTAACTGTGGATCCATCTTTATATCCCTTTGGCTCGCATCTATAGCGTTTCCACATCGACAATACCCGCAAATCATTGCATTCCAAGAGACATTCCCACTCAAATCCAACCTTTTAGAGCCAAGCGATGAATCTTCATTACATCAAGAAGATTCCCACGAGATTTTAAGACCGGAGGCAAAGTGCAGAAATCCGGTTGAAGACCAGAGCCAGAGATCAACATAAACAGACTAAACCAACCAATAGCTTCTGAGAAATCTCCCACTCGAACGTAAGCAGCAATCATCGAATTCCAAGCACTAACATTCTTATTGTGGATCATATGATCAAATGTCTAGTAGGCCGATGTTTACTCTTGAATTCATCTCCCTCCTTTGAACAAACTAGCAAACCATTTGCTGGTGCTGTAAATCCTCTGAAAAAGCACTCCAATCAAATGCGAAACTCCATTAAAGCGCCGATCTTCTGCATGTCCGGACCAAACACAAGATTACGGACAAGAATTTAAAACCCGACAAGTTTGCAACTCCAAAGAACACATATGATGAACACACACACACGTAATTACATTCTGGGCTTTGCTCGGAAAACCCATATGATGAATTCACCGGAAAACGAAATGATCAGAGAAGGGAATAAGATAACATGTTAACCACGTAAAATCATTGCACATGTTTCATCAACAAAAAGGAATTTCACGGGCAGTAAAAAAGAAAAGAAAGGCAGAATCTTTGGACAAAGTTGGTAACTGGGTGAACAGCTTTACCTCCTCAGAATATTTCGTGGTCTTGAAAACAATCGGATGATTCGGAGATGTCCGAATTGAAGCTTGAATTGAATACCAATGGCAACGGAGGGTTTGTGAAAATTTGAAATTTAGGGTTTAAAGGGCAAAATCGCCAAATTAGTAATTTTGTAGTCTTAATGTAATTGGGCTCAATGTTATAGAAAGTTCATAACGTATTAAAGCCCAATAGCATAAGTCCGTTTTGTTTTATTTTGTGATACATTATTCCCAATAGGCATGTTATTAATTAAAGCAAAATTAAAATTAAACAATATCTAATTTTACAATTTTCTCTGTTGTGATCTATGAACTAAACCTTAATAAAACAAGTTCACTCTTGTACTTGTAAATATTAAATGACGCGGGATTTGAACTGCACTTCTTGGTTATTTTGTTCTTGCATTCCAACACTTTTAATTAACATTAAAACTACGATTTTTTTCATTTGTTTTCATAAATTTAACGAAAATTCATATGGATGCATTAGCTACAGAAATTATTGAAAAACTATAAATTTTAATCCTCGAAATAACATTATATGTTAAGATTAGATTTTTCATAAAAATTAAGATTAGATCCTGACTAATTAAATTGCCTAAAATAGGATTGCAATTAGGGATGTCAATTAAGCCAAGAGCCCGAAACCCGGTCCGAACCCACCCGAAAATAATAAGGTCGGGCTTTCGGGCTTCGGACTAAATGGGCTACGGACTAGTCGAGGCGGGCCGGTCGGGTCTCGGGCCGAGCTTGAGGCCCATTAATTTTTTTCTAACCTTTAAATTTTTTTGTTTTATATTTTTTTCACTCTATATTGGTTTTGTTTCGTACTAATTGTTTGGATTTTGTTCTTCGATACACATAAACAAACACATGTTCTATATTTATATATGTATATCTTTTTACCAAATGACGAAACTTTATTTTGGATCCAATTAACACTTTTTAAAGTGATGAAAACTTTTATTTTTTTAATTATATTACATCATATATATATATATATATATATCAATTTATATTTTTAAAAATGTAGAAACTTTTAAATATATATATTTTTAAACCTTTATTTACATATGAATATATTGATTCTTTTTCTATATGTTTCAAATTAATTACATCATATCATTGTCTTTTTAATACTATGTTTGCTTTTTTTTAATATTTTATATTATTATTATTATCGTAGAAAAAAAATATTTTTATTTGATAAAAAAAATTCGAAGTCCGGTCCGAACCCGCCCGAAGTCCTATAGGACCGGACTCCGGACCATCGATCCTAAACCCGAAAAATAAATGGGCGGGCCGACTCGGTCCGAAAAATTCTAGGTCTGAATTGAACCCGGCCCGAACTCGGCCCGGCCCGCCCATTTTACACCTCTAACAATCGGACGCGTATATAAGAGACATAATAAGTTAAGATTGATACGTATCCAGACTTCCCAAAGTTGATTATGGTAAATCAATTATTTGTTTATGAATTTTAGAAATTAAAAAAAAATTAAAACTGTCTAAACGTTTAAATAAATTTGATTCCTCGCAATAGTTTTCAAGAAGATTTTGTTAATGTCTTCAATATTTCTAGTTTGAAATATAAAATTCAGATATAATCGACCATTCATTTATATTTTGATCATTTTTTAATTTATCATGTCAATCTTTGCTCTCGTTAACAAGTTTCCCACTACCTTTGTCCTTTGACGATATATATATGTATATACATATATATATATATATATACACACATACATTGGTTACCAATAGGGGTATCAATTTGGGCCCGAGACTCGAAGCCCGGCTCGGCCTAGTCCGGAAAATAGCGGATTTCGGGCCGAAGATTCTTGGCCCGAAAAAAATCGGGCTTTCGGACCAGGTTCAAATCGGGCTTCGGATTCAAGTGGGACCGGTCTGAAAGCCCGAAATTTTTTTTAAAAAAAATAAAAAAATAACATTTACAAAGAAAATCCGCGGGCCGGTCCGGCCCGATCCGACCCGATCCGAGTCCGGAGTGCATAGGACCGGACTTCAGACTTAATTATCTAGACCAGAAAAAAATCGGACCGACCCGAATCCGAACCCAAAACTTCCGGACCGAGTGCAGGCTCAGGTCGGACCGGCCCGATTGACATCCTATTTGCCAATAATTGTTGTTTTGATTGAGAGTATCTTCACTTATTTGTTTTCATTGTCTCAACTCATCAATTGATAACTCTACTTTCTTCCAACTTTACAAATGTTGGGATATATTTGGTCTGACTTTTAAAACGACCAATTATCGCTATCTTATATAGCCACAATATTTGTTATCATGCATTCTGCGTTTCTAGATATTTTTATTACAATATTAAATCGTTTTTCTATATCAATTATATATATATATATATATATACCAAATATTTTCGTAAAATTTAAAGAATTGTACTCCATATTTTGGATATTATTATTTAATTTTGACAAATAAAATTAGAGATTATGGATAAATATTCCGAATTTTAATTATATTTAGTTTTGTTTTGTTTTTTTAATTATTTCATTTTTTAAAAACAATATCTATTAAATTGGGTTTCGATGATTGGCATTTTATTGCATTACATATATATATTTTATTTTTAGTAGAATATCGTTTTAAAAAATTATTTTTATCTTGTTTTTATGTTGAATTAATTTAGTTTTGAATAACATGTTGAATCAATTATTTTTATATTAGTTTAATTTTAGTTATTTTATATCAATTTCAGTTCTCGTATAAAAACTTTGAATATATCCTACTATTTTTTAGAAAAATAAGTAAAAGATAGAGAAAAAGAAAGTCCATTATACATATATAATTATATATATATATATATATATATATATATATTCTAGAGTCAAAGATAAAGTCCATAATGAGGAAGAAACGACAACTAAAAAAAATAATATAAAAGGAGATCACATCACATGTCAAAAGGATAAACACAAAGATTTGGGAAAATAATTGGGGGTCCAATTTCATATAAAAAAAATTAAATTATGTAAATGTCGTGGGGATGAAGTGCGCCACGTGGCAGATGTCCCTCCCTTGTAGGTGAGGTGCAACTACGTGATAAAAGATTCGGACTTTTTCTCCTTTTTTGCTTGTACTACTACGACTACTCTTTTTTTTTTTGTACTACTCCTTATTATTTGTTTTAAAAATAATAATATAATTTCGCCAATAAAATATAACTTTATTTTTTCAGAAAGAATAATTCATATTTTTGTGCTGTGAGCATTTTTTTTCCGTATATTTCACATTGTATTTAATATGTTTTAACGGTTAAATCAGTTAAGATTCTATTCCAAGTTTTCAACATATCTAATGTAAGGACTTTCCAAAACTTTCTTTGTCCTGATAAGGATTTTGCAACATGAAGAATACTGTAAAAAAACAATTTGACAATTTGATTCCATTCTTTTTTTTTTAATTTCGAAATCAATAAAAAAATTGCTTTTTAATCCCTTCATTGTATTGTTTAAAGTATGAATTGTTTAAAGTATGAATAGAGCTGGTCGGTTCGTCGAGGTTCTTCAAAACCGAATCGTATTAAATAAAAAATATAATATTTTTTCCGAATCAAACAGTCAAATATTTTTGAAAAGTAAAAAAATGAAATTTTTACAACTGAACCAATTTAAAAAAATCCATTAAAACTGAATTTTTGTAAAGAGATATATTCTTTTAATAAAACTCCGAAGCGAGCTAGAATCGGATCGAATATAATAAACGGTTGATATATATTTTTATAAAAACGAAAGAATCGAACCAAATCATTTTCAAATCGAACTCGAACCGAATATCAAAACATTTATCTTTATTTTGAACTTTAAAGACACTATAATAAATTGAACGAAATTCTTATATCAAAAGAGAAATAAACACGATAAAATATAAAATTATTGGTATTTTATTTAAAAGAAGGATATTGAAATCGCACATGGATGAAGAGAGAAGAAAAAACATATGAACTACACATGGATTTGTTTGGCTTTAAAGGAGTTTGCCATTTTTTTAACAATTAAATGTTTGTTGCCGACAATTAAATGTGTTTATTTATAATTATATTTCTTAATCTCTATTTCTTTAATTTGGGTAGTTGGGAAGTTAGTCCAAAAAAAATCACATAGGGGAAATAACAAATAAAAGTCAAATACTCGAGATAAATATGAGGTATGATACACGAGAATATCTTTGTATTTAATTATTAAAATTAAAATAATATTTAGATTTAACATAAAATTAAGCTTTAAAATAAATAAGCTATTTTTAAACAAATTTTTCTTAATAAAATTCAAATCACAATCTAATCAAATATTACAAAGAAATACTCATGTATTGTTTTTATAAATATAAATATAAATCTAAAAATAATCGAAATAAAACATTGAATTAATATCTTTCCTTTGCTATTATATAATCGAGATCCATTAAGAAATGAACGGTTCAGATTTATCCACTTTGCGAGATCTCATTCGTCGAAAACACTCCATCGTCTCATTTCAAAAAGCCTCGTTTCCTATTGGTTCACGTTGCGCGATATTTGTGGCTCACGCACCATCTGACGTCAGCGTCATCCCGAACAAAATAATCCTTGTATCCAAACACCTTGAATCTCACCTTATATCATGACGAGTGTACCATTTGGACACTTGTCGATCTCTCTCCCCTTCTCTCTTTCTGCTCTCTCAAGTTTTTTTCCGCGAAAAAAAACAAATTGAAGGTAAGGAGATTTATTTTTCCCTCCCTTTTGTTCTTGTTAGTTTGTGTGACTGAGCTGCTTAATTTTTTTTTATTTATGTTTTTTTTTCAGTTTGATTTCTTTTTCATACTTTTGTGTCATTCCACCTATTCGGGTTTGGTGAATCGATTGTACACTCGATTTCTGGTTCGCGTTTTGTTCAGATTCATGGATTCGATCGCGATCATGAACTTTTCCGTCGAAGACAAGTTTTCCGGACATCGATTGGGTTGTCCGGAAAATCATGCTTTACCTTGGGTTCTGTTTCTGGTACTTCTTCAGTTGAATGTCTTCTTGTTACCTTTGTTTCTGTTTCCGGTACTGAAAATTTGGAGGTTGCCGAAGTGTTAATGGTATGGCAGGTATATAGTTTGTATTCGATTTGCTTAAATCTAATGTTTTCTTCGAAGATTGCAATCGGATTTTTCAGACAACGAACAGTTCCTGCTTTGTCTTCAAAATTTCAGATAGTTTTCTTCTGTTTTCTAAATCTTGATCAGCAAGGTGGGTTTCTAGATTCTTCCTCTTGTTTAATTTGCGTGTGAATATTTTATTAACCGAAGTATAGGTATATATCAGATATGTAATAAAACGTGAGTTCCGTTTGTAGGCAAAGGAATCTTCGAGAAGAATCTGGAGACGTTCACTTGTCGTTGTCTTATGAGATAACTCTGTAGTAACACAAAAAATGGGGTCTCGAGTGAACTTCAGGAACTTCGCTGATGGAGACATGAACCAGAAGCAGGCAGTGATTGGGAATGTTCCATTGGCGAGGCAGAACTCTGTTTTCTCGTTAACGTTCGACGAGTTTCAGAACACGTGGGTCGGGTTAGGTAAGGATTTCGGGTCCATGAACATGGATGAGCTCTTGAAGAACATATGGACCGCCGAGGAAAGCCAAGCCATGAACACCACCACCACCACCACCAACAACATTAACAATGGTAATAACAGTAACATTGGTAATAGTAATGGCTTAGCTGTAGCTATGGGAGGAGGAGGGGATGGTTGTGTTGGATTTTCTGGCGGGAATTTGCAGAGGCAGGGATCATTTACTTTGCCTCGTACGCTTAGTCAGAAGACGGTTGATGAAGTTTGGAGGGAGTTGATGAAGGACAGTGACAATGGTGGTGGTGGTTGTAGTAATGGCGGATCAGATGTTCCTCAGAGGCAACAGACATTGGGAGAGATTACATTGGAGGAGTTCTTGGTCAGGGCAGGTGTAGTCAGGGAAGAACCTCAACCATTGGAGAGGCCAGACAACATTAATGGCGGCTTCTATGGCTTCGGTGGTAATGCAAGTCTCGGGTTACATCAGAACAATTTCGTATCTAACCACACCCTTGATTTCTCTGGCAATGCCGCTGGAGTCAGGCTGGGAGGGCTGCCACCTCGGTCGCAGCCGCAACAGGAGACCGCCTTCCCAAAGCAAGCCACGATCGCGTTCACAAACAATGTGGACATGGCTAACATCTCTAAACCCATTATACAGGTAACCGAGGACCTGGAAAACTGAAGATATAGAATAGTTAGTATGGTTCGCCTGGAAAGTATAATGCCTGATCTCGTTTGAAGCGAAATCAAATGTTGTTTTCATGTGGGTAAGCTGGTTTTGGATTTTCCATGGATGATTGACTTGAACCATGCTTGGTTTCTTGTATTGCCAGGAGGTGAGGAGTACGATAGCCGGGGTACAGGACTGTCCAGTGAAGAGCAATTTACTACAAGCTGTCAACTTAAAAACAGGGGTAACGGTTGCGGCCGTGTCTCCGGGAGGCCAGATGTCTCCTGACCTGACTCCTAGGGATGCATCTGTATCACCTGTTCCTTACATGTTTGGCCGGGGAAGAAGATCGGGTGCAGCTCTCGAGAAAGTGATCGAGAGAAGGCAGAGAAGGATGATCAAGAACAGGGAATCGGCTGCTAGATCACGTGCCCGTAAACAAGTAAACAACTTGTGACTTCTGGTAGCTTTGAGAGCTCTTAAGCTTATCGAACTTTTTGTTTCCCCCTCGTTTTGCTGGTGGGCAGGCTTACACAATGGAGTTGGAAGCAGAAGTAGCAAAACTAAAGGAACTGAATAACGAATTGCAGAAAAAACAAGTATTATACCCCTCTTTTGCCTTTCAATGTTTCGGTTTTTTTAGCTTTCTTTCGGGGTTCTGATTGTCATCGATCAAACGTTCCGTGCAGGCCGTAATCATGGAAGTGCAGAAAAATCAGGTAGTTCTCCGTATCTTTCCCGTTTACGTCGTGGAACACGAGAATGAGCTGTATATATATATATATGCTTCGAAGCTTCGTCGTTGCTAATGTGGTGGTTGATAATTTTGTGTCGTTGCAGCTCTTAGAACCGATTCGCCAGCCGTGGGGATGCAAGAGGCAATGCTTGCGGAGGACATTGACGGGTCCTTGGTAGAAAAACGAATGATCATAGGGACATCAGAACTAGAAAAACAGCTGTGAATGTGGTTAGATAGGTGTGTTCTCCTCCTCGTGTGAATTATGAACTGAAATCAGTTTGACAGAGACTCTCTTCTTTGTTCGGTTTCTTGAATGATTGCAGCGCATGGGTCTTGCTTCATGAACTGTGGGATGCCTTCCCGAAACTTTGGGTTTATTCTTCTCTGGTCCCATATGAAACATTCAGACAGCAGCTCTGTTTTTTTTTTTTAAAGATGGAACATGACAAAAGATCAAATCATTGTGTTTGGATTTCAGAAATGTAAAACATGGACAGTGAAGTTGGTCGCTGTCTATACGCAGATTGAAGAACACCGTTTGTATATGATCCACTAGACAAATCTTCCCCTCACGTTCAGTGTTTGATTGCACTACGATATCAATTTATTTTTTTTCTTATTTATTAAAAAAATTTAATAATATTAAACATAGTGATATAATTAGTATTTTGAACGTTAACCAAAGGCGCTCGTGGCCTAATGGATAAGGCGTCTGACTTCTAATCAGACGATTGTGGGTTCGAGTCCCACCGAGCGTGTTTCTTTTTCTTCTTTTTAATTTTTATTATACTTACAAAAACCCATTTCCAATTATTTTCCAAAGAATGATCCTTCAACAAAAATATGCATAAATAAATAAGAGTGAACCCATTTTTAATTATTTGCAGACTAGAAATTAAAAATTGAAAAAATTCAAGTAGAACTCATAATTTCCAAATAACATAATAACTAAAACTAATATTCCTTTCGATAAGAATTTCCTTGTTTTCGAGTTCATGCCACATCTTAACCTCTCTTCTTTAATGTCTGTATCTGTGCTTATGGGTATAAACGAATAACTAAAGAGACTTCCTAGCCCACAAAAAACAAAAACAAAAACTATTTTTTAAATGTCTTCTACATATGATCCCATTGAAAATATACATATACATATACATATATATATATATATGGTGCCAAAATAAATGCTGATAAAAGCTCTTGACAGGGCGACACGTGTTGTTAATTTTATGGTGGGTCCCATATAAGCCTTGTCAGTAAGAACATATACCCTTGAGTGAGACCCACCGTCTCCTCCCACCTCCCTCCTTTTTCACCCAAAGGCCCAAACCAAATCTCTCTCTCAGATCTGCGATTCACATTTTCCTCCATTTTCTCACTTCTTCAAACTCAGGAAAAAACCCTAATCCTCTTCGACACGCGATCTCCAATGGCGGCTCCTCCTTCCTCGTCCTGTTCCTCTCCTTGCTTCAGCTCCACGCGCTTGCTCTCTGCTCGACCGGTGGTTTCCCCTCCCTCTGGTCTCCTCCCGTCGCGCTCTCTCCTTCCGACACAGAGACTGTCCCTCCGATCGGCTTCTTTTTCCCGCCTCCGTGGTCCCGTTCTCTGTGCGCGTGATTCTCGAGGTAACTTCTATTCTTGCACACACAAAACATATCCATGTATAAGCACGTTCAGACACTTGTGCACCGTCGATCTGGTCTGGGTGTAGTTCAGTCTCCTGGGTTCTTTTAGGGTATAAGAACAGTGACTGTTTATCTGTTTGCTTAAGTTTTTAGGTATTAGATCGGATCAGGTCAGAGGTGACTGAGCTTGGTTTGGCTTGTTTCATAACATCACTTGAGCTTTCGTACCAAGAATCCACGCATTAGCGCAGTTTTTCGTCGACTTTATGACGGAATCATTGCTTTCAAGAATCTGCAGTAGAAAGTAGATCAGCGTTAAGAAACTGAACCAAAAGCTCAATTGAAACCTTTTAAGGTTATTACGATGTTCCTCTCTGTCCGTGTCTTGCCTGATTCCCTTGTTCCCATTGACATGGATCTTGGATCTGCGAACTAAGTGAATGTATGCAATAATCAAGAACGGCAGCCCCCTGCACCTATTTTGTAATAAATTGAGAATGTGACAGGGATCTTGAAACCTGAATTAGCAAGAACATTTGTTATAGTGATGTCTAAATACCAACTCTTATTGGAGGGCACAGGCTCTTCCTGATTAAATTTCAGGCAAAATCTTCATTGGATCATATGTTTTATTTTGTTATTCGAGTTTGATTTTTGTTTTTGATAATCCGAAAGTTCACTGAGTCTTTCGATATCTCTCAGAAACCGAAAAAATCCATGTGAATGTCTCCCCTTAAGTTGAGACTCGAACTTGGATTGGAAAGGAGTTTTGCTCCATCTTTTACCGGTTGAATCACACAATATTAGGTTACTCAGGTTTGATTTGAACAGAACGCCACAATGATTTTTATTTTCCTCTGTTTTGAGAAATGGAATCACTTTTTTGGCCCGATACCGTGCGTGGATGTTAGAGATGGCAAATGGGATTGCATTCATACGGTTCAGACTGGTTCCGTATCTCATTGCTAAAACCTGCAGTCATGTTCTTTACATTTCTTCTTCTCTGTGTTGTTCCTCAAAATCTGAGATACTGAAACGGAGAACATGACTTGTGGAAGTCTCGGCTTTTGGTTTCCGGGTGTTATGTGCAGCGGCTGTAGTCACAGAAGGCACGTGGGAGAGATCGGTCCTGAAAAGCAACAAGCCGGTGCTAGTGGAATTCTACGCGAGTTGGTGCGGTCCATGCAGGATGGTTCACCGTATCATCAGCGAGATAGCGGAAGATTACGCAGGAAAGCTCGACTGCTTTGTTCTGAACACGGACAACGACTTGTCAGTGGCCGAGGACTACGAGTTAAAGGCCGTGCCAGTGGTTCTTCTCTTCAAGAACGGGGAGAAACGAGAATCTATCGTGGGTACCATGCCGAAAGAGTTCTACGTCGCCGCCATTGAAAGGGTTATGGACTCATGAGAAGGTATATATATATATACACACACATATACACATATATATGTGTGTATGTGGGTGTTCATCATCTCAGTTCCAGTACATGGCACCTCACCGCCGTTGGAATCAAATCAAAGGTTTAATATCTACTTGAAAAAACCGAACTACTTTAACCTCTTGTCTTTGTTCTTTTATGTTATGTGAATATATAATGGTTTGTTTTGTAGAAAGATGGCTCTGAAATCATATATCCGACCATAATTGTACCTGTATTCAATAAAAAATTCATTGAGTATAATTTTAGAATAAATAAATTTTTTTAGAAAATAAATATTCTTTTTAACAAGTGAATTGGAATAAACATAAAGTTAATAAATCGAATATAAGCTCACGTAAAAAAAAAATATAATATTTCCAGCTGATGTTTTTTGATAAGCCTATGTCTTATACGTTGTTTTAAATCTTGATTAAAATAAAATAAAAGGGGGTCCATGTTAGTTTCATAAATATTAATTTGGTGAATTTGTTTATACGAAATTTTCGCATATAATTGGAATTGTAAAGCATATCCTAAAATTAGATTAAAATTTGAAATCAATTTCACACATAATGAAAAAAATATCGATCCGCTGCATGCATCTTCTGAATGCAATTAAAGAACCAACAACTCTTTAAATGAAAAAAATAAATAAATTTTGATATCTAATTTAAAATAAATAAATTTAATTTAATTCGAGTATATTTAAATTGATTTTGAATCCAAAATATATCAAAATTTTATAAATAAAAAAAAACAAATCCGAGGAATATTATTATTTATATACAATCTTCGACCGTTCTTTCTTACTCGCATCTTTCCGCTTCTTCTTAAATTTTCCCGAGAAAATCCGAGTACCAGAGGGAGAAACCCATCATCAACAACAAGTGAAAGTGTGCCCATTTGCTTTGGTTATTGCTGTGACAATTAATTTCTTTCGGGGAGGGTCTTCGATCTTCTTCTAGATCTGCGTTTTCTTCTCGCTCCTTCTGGTCACGGTATTGTTCTTTTCCCTCTGTTGACAAGAAAACGATCGATTATGATCGGAATTCATCGATTCTGATCCATTTTTGCACTTCACTTGCGGTGTAGTTCTGTTTGGATGCCGAGAAAACTCTACAAGTTGAACTTTCTTGGTGTTCTTTCGTACAATCCTTAGTGTTAGTCATCGTCAATTTCCTTCAATTTTTCCGTTTAATCGCATCATTTCTCCTGCGCGATCTTCTTGTTTTCTCATTTCCAGGAGCAGCGTCTGATGATAAAGTCCGAAAAGTTATGTCGAATCCTGACGCAGAATCTTCAGCGAAAACGGACGCCGTTCAGCCCAATTCAGCCTCATTACAGAACCGCTGTTCGGCCGGCGGTCCAGTGGCGATTCTCTGGGACATGGAGAACTGCCCTGTCCCGAGCGGTGTCCGTCCGGAAGATGTTGCCGGCAACATAAGAATGGCCCTGAGACTGCATCCTGCCATAAACGGTGCTGTGGTTGCATTCTCGGCTTACGGAGATTTCAATTCGTTTCCTCGTAGAGTTAGGGAAGGTTGCCAGAGAACGGGAGTGAAGCTTGTCGATGTACCTAACGGGAGGAAAGACGCGGCCGATAAGGCTATCTTGGTCGACATGTTCTTGTTTGCGCTCGATAACCGGCCTCCCTCTTCCATCGTGCTTATATCGGGAGATGTCGATTTTGCTCCGGCCCTTCACATACTCGGCCAACGCGGATACAATGTGATTCTAGTCGTACCTTCGGGCGTCGTTGTTAATTCAGCTTTGTGTAATGCCGGTAGGTTCGTTTGGAACTGGCAAAGCATTGTTCGCGGTGAAGGCTTCGTTCCTCAGTCGAGGCTATCTGATATGGCTAAGCACCTCATCGGCAGGGAGGATAACCCGAATGGGATGAATGGAGAAGAAGAAGAAGAAGCGATTCTGTATAGAGGAATCTCCCGGAACTGTTATAACCCGAGAGATTCCTCGACGGTCTTGCAGTCTCTTACCGAGCATACTACCGCATTGACTTGTCATCCCACTGCTTTCCCGTCTTCTTACGACGAGCTTGATCCCGCCATGTGGGTCGCAGCACCTGGCGATGTAAATGGTCTGAAGGGACAACTGGTGAGACTTCTCGAACTTTCGGATGGTTGTATGTCGCTCTTGCGTGTTCCATCCGTATACCAGAAGCATTTCGGTAAACCCCTTTACGTATCGGAGTACGGAGCACTCAAGCTCGTGGATCTTTTCAAGAAGATGGGCGACGCCATCGCGGTGGATGGTAAAGGCAACAAAAGATTTGTCTACCTTCGGAACTGGAAAGCAAACCCTAGCACTCCTCTCCTTGAGGAGGACAAGAAAGGGAAAGACGAGAGCTTGGATGATGACGGAGGAGCAGCCATCAGAGGCGGCTCCTCGGCCAAGTTGTCTGATGTGGACAGGAACTTGGAAGAGTTCAGGCATGAGCTGCAACAGATTCTAGTGAGCTACTCTTGTCGGATAACAGTCGGCTCTTTTGAGGAAAAATACCGACAGAGGTACAAGAAGCCATTGGACTACCGAAAGCTCGGGGTCGATCACTTGGAGAAGCTCCTGGACAAGGTCAGGGACGTTGTCATCATTTACAAAGATCCTGCAACCGAGCAGAAGTTCATCGAGCCCCTTTATTAAAATTCCCGAAACCGACCTATAGACCAGACGGTGCATTTTTTTCAGCCGTTCAATCGTCCCGTCGTGGTGCAGACAGTCTCTGAGGAAGAAGATATGACATGTTCCTCCATGAACGAGCATGTAAGCTCTTTAACATCCTGCTACTGTATATTTTCTCCGTATACTCTTCTCTATAGGGCAGAGATTTACAGAGATGATTTGAGTGTCCCACGTTGTCTTTCTTTTTAGGCATTCTTGAATCTACGTTCAAGCAGATGTAAAGATTGAAACTTTATGAAATAGAGATGAATGCTTCGTAGGGAAATCGAATCTAATGGAGATTTATAGCTCTGAACATATATCTGACTTGTAAAGACAAAAGAGTAGCAAGATCTGATCCACTTGACGTCTCTTCTCAGTTGGTGGAAAGAGCCGTTGTCTTACAAATGGGGCAGAGATTCTTGATCACGAGCCATTTCTTGATGCAGTCTGTGTGGAATTGATGGCCACATTCTAGGGTCCCAAGATCATCTCCTTCTGCATACTCCTCCTGTCCAAAAAAACGTCAAGCAGAGTGATTCACCAGCCAACGACACTGATCCCACCCGACCCGAGCTGCCCACGGGGAGACCTTTGGGTAAAGACGGGTCGAGTCTTCCGGCCAGCGACCCTTTGGTCAAGACAGGCAGTGTGTTATTATGTAAGGTCATACTTTAGTATCATTACCCAGCAAATACAGCAAGCCTCTGTCTCCTGCCGGGACTCGCCATCTAAATTCGCATACTTGTGCCGTTTCATCGCTCTCAGGATCACCTCCTCGCTTAAGCCCGTGCTCACGTCCCCTATCTGCTCCGCCAGTGCCAATAGCTCCTATACATTTCCCTACGGATGTCGGTAAAAATGCAGAGAAGAAGAAGAAGAATTGAGAGATATATAAGGTAAAAAGAAAACCGATCAAGCACCTCGTACGACATGCTGTCAACGTCAAGACGCATATCACGATGCCTGTCATGCACCTCGGCCGTGCCACGGTACATAAATGGATCATCCTGTCATATGATTCAACCAGTAAATAAACACATACTTCTATAAATGCCCGAAATTTCTGTATCATCTATTGGATTCAGAGGTGAGTTTCTACTAATTCAAGACCCTTCAAATTACTGAATACTGTGTAGCTACAAAGTATAAACGGTTTATAACAGCATGGACCGACTTGTTACGACAAAAAACCGTACCTCGAACGGTATATTTTCCTCTTGTTGCATGGCATTCAACACTTGAAGTATCTGTCAAATAAGATGAACATATCCAATTAACCATTACATATATACTAATGAAGTAAAAGATGAAGCAAAAGGTCGAAAACCTCGGACATGAGCTGGTTCCTTCTATCGATATCAGCAGATAAACTCCTTCCTAAATGTTGCAAATGGCGAAGATCATTCTGCCTCTCCGATGCCAGTCCCGATCTTCTGGGCCATGGCCGATGATGGCTCCTGCCGCTAGACCCAGAAGGCATTGCCGCCGCCTCGTTCCATGGAACAGAAGGGCCTGTGCGTATTGAAGGCAGAGGACCACCACGACTGGCAGATTCAGATCCGATGGAAGAAAATAACGACGAAGGAGCAAGCTCTGATGTTCTTGATGGATTATGCGTCGAGCCACTCCGGGAAAGAATCCATGCGGGAATCGGCTGGAAAGAAGGGATGCTTGAACTCATTCCCGGCCGAGGGTTTCCACGACTGAAACTCCAAGTGGACTGATCCGGCATTGGATTTCTCATTTCAGTGGAAGGTCTAAACAAATGATACTCGGGGTTTCTTCTCGGCACGTCTGGTGGTAGTCCAAATCTCCCTCCACGTATCACGATACCCGGACTATTATTCCGGGCAAATTGTTGTATATTCCTAGTCAAAACAGGGAGGTGGATGATATTCGACTGACTCTCGTTACAGCTCGGGATACCAGAAGGGGTAGTCACTGGTAAATGCTGTGGTGCAGAAATTTCAGCTGATGATAAACTGAATGGTACCGAGTCCTGCATCCAACTCAGAGGATTTCTCGTAGAAGGAGAATCATTTGACCCAACAGCTCTTCTACCACCCGGTCCACACCTTGAACCATCATAATGGGGTAAGCCATGGCCTGAAGCTCCTTCGAGAGCCTTTCTTTTGCACGAGGAACCCCAACCATCGAGGGAAGAAGCTGGACCGCTACAGTTATTATCATGGCGGAAAACTACCCCAGAGCTCCGCCCACCGCCATCATTGTTGTCCATACGACCGGAGCTTGAACCTTGCAAGAAAGTCGGCACATTTTGGACATAGCCAGCATGAGAATGAATACCGGAATTGCCAGAACTCGACCAGCCATGGCTTTCATGACCACTGGAGCTTATATGAGCTGACCGTCCCGAAGGTGTAATGCAGTTTGGAAACTGACCGTCCACCGGATCCAAAGAGGTCTCTGAACCGGTGCTAGAAATGGGCTGTCCATCCACTTCTTCGGATGAACTGACTGTACGGCGTGGCCTTTGCGGTGGATCCATACCTCTGACCGATAAGAACACAACGAAAACTCCCTTACGGAATCCTGAAATCAAGCAAGACGAAAGCATACATACATGAGAAAAATGAACGAGAACTCGGAAACAACTGTGCACGAACTACTCTACATTATTTCATAGTCTCTTCCGGATTTAAGCTATGATCATGCCCATGTTAAACAGTTGGAAGAAAATCGGAATCCGACAAGACACTGAAAACACCAAATCCATCACAATGTAACCTAATCATGAATTGCTGCACATTCGGATGAAGAACAACGGAAACGAAAAAAAAAGACTCATGAAGAAATCGGGACCGAAAATCCGACGAGGAATTAAATTTCTAATCTTGGAATGGAAACCTAAAATGGGTCATCCCGATCTGTCAGCGTCGCCCAGCTCTTGCAGAGAATCACAAGAACGAGACAATCTGGACAATGAAACATATGAGATATCGATCGAGTTGAGTGACGAAAAGGACAAAATCGTGAGATTGAAGGGACGGTACCGGCAGAATCTGTGAGAGGATCAGACGGGTCTTCAAGTAATCTCTGTGATGCCCAGAAAAATCTAAAAAGGAAAGATTTTTTCTTGAAAGAATAAAAGAAAAGGCGTTTCTTTATGGGATGGCAGGCTCTCTTATTTTCCTTTCTGGGTGTTTTCTCCTCTCTTCGATTCTATACTTTCCAAGAAAACGCAAAACTTTTCCAAGAAAACGAAGGAACAAAGAAGAAGAAGAAGAAGAAGAAGAAGAAGAAGACGAGAAATAACACACGAGAAAGGACAGAGAGCATAAGCAGTGGATGAGGGGGATTAATGTGATATTTTTTATTTGGGTTTTTATTTTTTTATTGAAATTAAAAATCATTAGATTTTATAATTACGATTACCATGAATATAAAGAGTTGGACTTGCCCGAGTGGTGTGGCGTTTAATAGCTTAAGCTTCTTCTTCTTCTTCTTGATTTCCCTGGTCCTGCATATAGTCGACGTCCACGTAGCATTCATGCGGTGAAGAGGTGGGTCCACGTGTATGTGTGTATGTATGTATGTATAGATATAACCATCAAATTTAAACCCTAATAGGTAGATGAACATATGGGTTTCGGTAGTACATTACATTATTTTTTTTTTAATAGCTAGATGAACTTGTATCTTTTTATATTATATGTTGGTTTATTTGAATTTTACTCTATTTTTACTTTTAAAAAAATATATACTATTTTTTAAAAAATATTCTTCATTTTATTTATTTTTAATCTAACACACCTTTTAACTTTCTCATTTACTAGAAAATTACTTTAGGTTTGTTAAAAATCACCTTTATTAATTCTAAAAAATATACATTATCCTTTATGTTATGGCATTAGTTTATATATAAATTATACAATTTTCCGTTTTTATTCACTAATTTTGTCACTGATGTAAACTAAACCAAATATATGGTTTTTATAATGGATGTTTTTTATAACATTTCTAAAGTATATGATTTTTTCTGAGTACGTGAAATAATTTTTTTTTAGTTTCCCTTTTTTATTTTTAATCATTTTTTAATTGAATTGATTTTTATATAATTTTATTTTATTTGATTTCGTTTATTAGAAATCTGAATATTTGTAAACCCTTAAATCATCTAAAAATTGTTAAACCATTAAATTATTAATCGTCATATTGGCAAACAATGCTTTAAACCATTAAAACAATGCTTTCCTAATAGATTATTTTCACATTTTCAAGAAAATTCGATTTAAAAAAAAAGCTTTGTATTTTGGTGGTATTCCTTTTTCGTCTTGTTTTTTCAATCTTGGATGAGTTTAATAACAAAAAAAAAGACGATTAGATAAAACTTCTAAATAAATTTGGTCTTCTTATAACATAACAATTATATATTTGGACCACTCATATGATAATTTTATTTACGACAAATCTTTGTGATATCATGACTCCACTTGAATTTCAAAGGATTCACAAGAATGATATTCTCCGGTTCTTGAAGAAGTCACAGAGGAAAAAAACGAAGAGAAACTGTCTAGTAGACCAAAATCGATCCTAAACCAGCTTAAAAAATACCCTGGTTTTCGGTTCACGATCGGTTTAGCTGAAATCTCGGTTACCCTTCGGTTTACCAATGCGAATTTACCAAAGTGCCATCAATGGGCGGTTTCCGAAACCTCCACTTTGCTCAGCAACTCCCGAAGCCTCTTCTTCATTCGACGGCTTCCACATATATGTCTTATAAATAATAATCTCGAGCTTATTATAAATACAGCCTAATGAAATATAGGCCAACTTGTAATCTTTTTTTTTTTTGGATAACGGAAGACCCTCACCTGTTATCATTCGGACGCGCTAACTAGGTAAACCTCCGGTTCGGAAACAACCTTTATATATGGATCATATAAATCCAGGAATTACTTTCTTCCCCACCAGTTAGGAATCGAACACTCAGCCTCAAGGTGGAGTTACCTCTTATCCAAGTTTGACCACTCACCCACGATATGTTGGGTCCAACTTGTGAGCGAAAAAGTCTACATCATCTCAAATCTTTCATCGTTTACATGTCAATGGAAATACCATCAAATTTTAAATCTCTAAATTAAATGAATATTAAAAATTACAAGCTAATTTGTAAATAGATGCGAAAGTGGAAAAACAATACATCAATTTTCGAAAAAATGGGGAGAAACATCACCAAATATTCATGTTCAATAAAAAAAAATCTGTTTTGTATTTTAAAAATAATACATCAGCTTTAAAATATAATATATATATATATATATATATATATATGTAAACATTTTTTTCCCTTAAACTTACTAGCTATTATCCTTGTTAATTATTTCGAAAAATCTGACAATCATCGAATACTAAAATCATTAAATTTTTTTCTATAAGTTTGAAGATTTGATAGAAATTATTTTCCCGATTTCAGCTGGAAATGATTACTTTATATACAACAATATACATATATATATATATATATATATGAGCATATGCCTCATCTTCCATCAGAGAGGGCATCTCAAAATATGATCCACATTCACGAACAAACATAATTAGTTATCAATTAGTTAATTAAAACGAGGAAAATATTTTTATATGAAAATAAATAAATAAATAAATAGTCTTCCACCAACCCTTCACCAACCACCTACCACTACTACCACCCATTGCATGACTCTTCACCCTAAAAGCGGAGTTGGTGATCAAATTGACCTCCCATTTGGCCCTGTAGTAAAATACTGTATGTGTACATGTATATGTACGCACGTGTGTACATGTATATATACGTGTTCAGTGCCCCAAAGCCAAAACATATGATGAGTCCAATTTCGCCCACATAAGCATATATTAATTAAAATCTATAGAGTAACGTATAGCCCAAATATAGAATAAATATCCTAGACTATGGAAATCTTACTTCGCTATAAAAAACCGTAATCATTTCTTTTCTAAAGAAGGAAAAAAAACATAATCACGTATTTATTGAAATTTCAATTTAATTTTGTATGTTTATAAATTAATTATCATAATCATTTGCCAAACCAATCTTTGGTGCGTTGGATTTGTACCCACACTCCTACCTACTCCCGTATAATGAGAGTCTCTAACCAAGCCCGAACCGGGTTCGGTCAACCCGGGAAACAAAAACCCACCGGTTCGAACCGGTCTCTTCTTCCTCCTTTATATTCCATGTTCATCCCCCCCCCCCCACATACCCTTGTCCCCCCCCCCCCCCCAATCTCCATGAAAGCAAAGAATTTCAGAGAGATAGAGATGGCGACAACGGTGGAAGCAACGAAGAAGGAGACATCGACTAATGGAGATGAACAGCAACAACAGTCTCAGGCTCTCAGACACCAAGAAGTCGGACACAAGTCTCTCTTACAGAGCGATGATCTGTATCAGGTCTGTATATACACACACATGCACATGCATGCGTCTGATTCGGGTTAAAAACTCTGTAATCCGAACGGTCCACGATTTTTGTGATGGGTTCGAACCAGTTCATGACATTTATGAATCATATGAACATCGCAGTACATATTGGAGACAAGTGTTTATCCGAGGGAGCCAGAATCGATGAAGGAACTCAGGGAAGTGACAGCGAAACACCCATGGTAATTTTCCCTCCGGATCCTCCGAATAAATTTTAAAAATAAAAAACATTCACGGGTCTTCGTGTAATTCGTTTCTGATGGGCTTTGGGTTCGGACAAAAAAAAAAAACAGGAACATAATGACAACATCTGCGGATGAAGGGCAGTTTCTGAACATGTTGATAAAGCTCGTCAACGCGAAGAACACGATGGAGATCGGTGTTTACACCGGCTACTCTCTCCTCGCCACCGCTCTTGCCCTCCCCGATGACGGCAAAGTATACATACACTCTTACATCTACATATATATGTATATTATATGTATATACACGATCCATTCCCTATGTTTCCGGGTTTTTTTATTGATATTAAATTTGCCTTTTTTTCCCTTTAAAATTCAGATCTTGGCGATGGATATCAACAGAGAGAACTACGAGCTGGGTTTGCCGATAATTCAGAAAGCCGGAGTTGCCCACAAGATCGATTTCAGAGAAGGACCTGCCCTTCCTGTTCTTGATCAACTCGTTGCTGACGTAAGCTTCTTCTTCTTCATAACAATCACACAATTATTTAATCATATATTTACCAAAAAAAATTAAATGATACTTTTACCAAATACACCATAAAATATTAACAAAAAAATAAAATTTAAATTCATGTGATCAGGACAAAGTTAGGTGACGTGTCTAAACAGATGACTTGAGTGGTATATCATGAAAGATAAATATATTCACTTCTAACTTCCAAGACATACATATTATGCCAAGTCTTAGATATTATTTTCCATATTAATTAAAATTTTCAAAAAATCTTGAACATATGATTAACAATCATTCATTTTAAAAAAATATGAAAAAGACTGGGTATTTTGTTTTTTGTGTGGAAAGAGAAATGATAGTGTGTGGTGGGGGTGCAGGAGAAGAATCGTGGAAGCTTTGACTTTATCTTCGTTGACGCGGACAAGGACAACTACCTGAACTACCACAAGCGGCTGATCGATCTCGTGAAGGTAGGGGGAGTGATCGGCTACGACAACACACTCTGGAACGGCTCTGTCGTGGCACCACCTGATGCGCCGATGAGGAAATACGTCCGTTACTACCGGGACTTCGTCATCGAGCTCAACAAAGCACTCGCTGCTGACCCTCGGATCGAGATCTGCATGCTCCCTGTTGGTGATGGTATCACTATCTGCCGTCGGATCAACTGACCGAGATTTGACTCTTTGTGGGCGCATCGCACATGATTATTACCCCCATCCTTATCGGAACGTAATCTGTACTCCACTATTGGAAAAAGATTTATATATATATATATTCATGTTTTTTTCTTATGAACAAATAAATAATTTGCCTTTTGGTTTATTTTGGTGTAATACCCGCAAAGTTTTTTTTTTTCTCGCACCATTAATACTTTTAGTCATAAAAACATAGAATTAGGTATGGAAAAAAAATACAAATTATACATCTAGCATCCAAAATAACATCTAAATAAATTAGGAAATCATTTCGAAAATACCCACATTTAGAAAAAAAAAAAATCGCAGCACATAAATAGATAATATGTCTTTTTGTGGTCAGTTTATTTGTTGAGGAAATTTGCACCGTCATTAGAAATCTATACCTTTTTTTCCTTCATTTGCAAACTATACATTTTTATGATTTTTGAAAAAAATACTCTTACTTTATTGTATAATTTCAATGTTGTCATTAAACATTTCAAAAAAATTATAGCATAAAAAATATATATTTTATTCAGAAACTATTATCTCGGAAAACTGTTTTTTTCATCCGGAATAATAATTTCCATAGGTGAGAATCTGTGTTTTAATTGGTTTAACTGTTTTTGTATACGAAAAAATCATTTTTTTATCAAGAAAAACTGTTTCTTGTCCGAAAAAAATATTGTTTCATTCGGGAAAGACTTTTTTTTATCCGAAAGAAATGTTTTTTATCCGAAAAAATCTATTTTCGTCCGGGAGAATACTTTTTTTTTAGAGAATTGTTTTCATCGGGGAAAAAATGTTTTTTATATGAAAATAATTTTTTTATACGTGAGAACTATTTTTCATTCGGACAAAAAACGTACACTCCCGAACTAAAAATAACTCCCTCTAAAAAACAGTTCGTCCGGACAAAAAAACAAACTTTTCCGAACGAAAAACAGATTTTTCCGGACAAAAAACAGTTCTTCCGGACAGAAAAAGATTCTTCCGAATAAAAACAAACTATCTCGAACAAAAACAGTTATCCTGGAAAAAAAATTCTTCCGGACAAAAAACAGACTCTCCCGGACGAAAAACAGTTCTCTCGGATAAAAAACAGACTCTCCCGGATGAAAAACAATTCTCTCGGACAAAAAACAGACTCTCCCGGATGGAAAACAGTTCTCCCGGATAAAAAACAGTTCTCCTAGATAAAAACAGTCTTTCCCTGATGAAAAACAGCTCTCCTAGATTACACAGTTTCCAAAAAAATCTGCTTTTTATATTACACATTTTTTGAGTACGCTAAATGGCAATATTGAAATTATACAATAAAGTAATGGTAGTTTTGTCAAAATTTTATAAAAATATATAGTTTGCAAAGGTCATAACTATTTTATCATACTTTGCAAAACACCATATCTTTTTATCACGTTTAACCAAAAACCCTATTTGTTTCGGTGAGAGGGTGGTGGCGGTGGGTCCAACCTGATTATTGTTTTAATAGCGTAATGATATATTTGACGATGGAAGGAGTCATGTTAGTAATCACTCCAAAAAAAAAGGGAATTTACATTTTTTTGGTAAGAAAACACTCAAATACTCTTAATCACGAATATAGCTAAAATTATGTACGTGTGTAATTTTCTGTTGAATTACGTGCTCGTCGAGTTCCTTTTTTCCCTTCTAAATTTGTATATTTTAACAACTCAAAATGATTATATATATATATATATATATAGGGAAAATGACATTTTTCTACACGAATTTATCAAAATGTGACATTTTCCTACACGAATTTTTAATTTGACAAATGTGTATACTCAATTAACAAATTTTCCAAATACCTACACGAAGTATCCAATTTTAGTGCAATTAACTACACAATCTGAAATTATCAATTAATTCCTGACGTGCCATGCCACGTGGTGGCTCACGTGGCATGCCACGTGGGATTTTTTGCCATGTCAGCGCGAATTAAAAAAAATAAAAAAATAAATATATTTGTATGTATGCATATATATATTTTTAAATTTTATAAAAAAATTAAATTTATATACATACAAATATATAAATATATATGTGTATATTCATATATATATACAAATATAAACATATATATATACAAATATATATACATATACATATACATACATACAAATATATTTACATGTGTATGTGTGTATATATAAATATATTTGTATATATATATATATTTGTATAAAATCCCAATTTATACAATATATACTTTTTAAAATCTATACGAAATTTAAATTTATATACATACAAATATATAAATACATATATATGTTTATATATGTATTTTTTTATTTTTTATTTTTAGGAAAATTTTTATTTTTATATTTTTTAATTCGCGCTGACATGGCAAACAAATCCAGCCACGTGGCCTTCCACATCAGCAATTAATTTGTTAATTGAGTGTAGATATTTGTCAAATTAAAAATTCGTGTAGGAAAATGTCACATTTTGATAAATTCGTGTAGGAAAATGTCATTTTCTCATATATATATATATGAGAAACGAGACTATTTTATTTTGTTAAACTTCAAGATTCCGTTTTTATGTATTAATTTTTACAAAACCATGTAAATTTCTTCTGAATTTTATGTCTTTAATGATGTGATAAATTAGTGTATATTTGATGATTGTAATAGAAAGTTCCGAGAAACTTTAACAAAAATTACTGTTTTGTTGACGCTGTGAAATACTCTCTCGGTCTGTTTCGTTTATCCGTTAATATCTCGTCTCGTCAAATTTAAACGATGCCGATATAGGAAGATATTATTCATAGAATATTATCATTAATATTGTTATGATTTAACCTAGATATTATATCTAGAATATACACTCTTCTATTAATCGTTTCCTATACGTTCAGGCAACGCTGGATCAAATGTTTCCCATTCGTGGATGAGAACTGGCGGAGGAAGTTCGGGAGGGTAAGAGAAGATGGATTCGAGGGATATGGGTGTCTCCGAGAGATTGTCTTCCCAAACTCCTGACGGCATTATGCGTTCCATAGGTTATCTCGAGGAGGATTCTTCCCGATTTTCGGGTACCCGCTAGCCGTGAACTCGGGCCCTTGTTAGGTTTCCTCTTGTTGTGCCTCCACAACTCGACCGCTACCTCGTCGATTATCGATCGGGAAGACCACTCGGCCATGAACCAGCCGGTCCTGGAATCCGAACCAGACCGGCTCACCGGATTGCGTAATTAATGTTCAACCAAGGAGAAGCTAGACGATGAACATCGTAGGGTCAGGGTTTGCTTCAAGAATGTGTAAATATTATGGCCATTGAATTTCATTTTTAATTTTGGGTTTTTTTTTAGCGAGAATATGTTTTCCGTACGTATGAATTGTTGGTATGACTTGTAAAATTAAAACACTAAAAATCCGGCATGATATTCTGCAACTCATATCTCTCGTGCCATAATCTCACCAACTACAAATACGTACCCACGGGGTAATACAATAAAACCCGGAAAGAATTGGTTGGGTTACGTGTGCGTATTTCGGCATGCATACGTACGTATTTTTTACGTACGTGCATTGCATGCGTATATATTATTTAAATAAATAAATAAGAGAGTCTCACTTTCCGTAACCAACCACGGAAGAATAGGGATAACTTGTTTGAATGGATCCCCCAACGGCCTCTCCACAATTTAAGTTGCCATGTCTTTGTTCTTACACTTTGGTGTTTCATTATTACATCTTCCTCTCTTGTCCTAACCAATCTTCTATATAAACCCAAACTCCACACTTTCAATACCATTCACCAATGGCTTCCCTTTCTTCTTCTTCTTCTTCTTCGATCTTTCTTGCATTAACCCTAATGCTCATATCATGTTCCTCCGCAACAAGTAGGCTCCCCTCTTCGAGAAGATCGGCTTTGATCGATCTTCTCCCTCAGAGATCCGGCGTCGGATTCCGGCTCACCCTTCATCACGTCGATTCCGGTAAGAACCTGACCAAGATCCAGAAGATCCAACGCGGAATGGGTCGCGGCTTTCGCAGGCTTCACAGGCTCAGGGCTGCGGTCTTAGCTGCTGAAGATGACGGCGCTAACGTCGAAGCTCCGACTCATGCCGGAAACGGCGAGTTCCTGATGAAGTTATCGGCCGGAACTCCGCCCGTTACCTACTCGGCCATTGTCGATACCGGCAGCGATCTGATCTGGACCCAGTGCAAGCCCTGCACTAAGTGTTTCGACCAGCCTACCCCGATTTTCGATCCTGAAAAATCTTCTTCCTTCTCCAAGTTAGGATGCTCTTCC